CTCCTACTCCTACTACTACTTCTTCTTCTACTATCAGTACTACTCCTCCTACTGCTACTCCTGCTACTGCTGCTGCGGCTGCCCGGGTGTAAATGTTTCGCTTAACCTGCTGGCAACCCACTGCTCTTTACTGGGTTGGCTTGTCGACTGGTTATATGAAAAGGCCAGGGACCTTCCTGGCACCGTTTCCTTTTAAATTTGCGGGTTACTTCTACGATTGCTAATGGCTACTGCTGCTGCATGTCTGCTGCTACTAAACCCGCTACTGCTACCACTGCCACTGCCACTACCAATACTCTTACCACTACCACTGCCACTGCCACTACCACCGCCCAGTGCCACTGCGACTGCCACTTTAAAGAGCCACATTTTTTTTCCACCACCGTCACGACGACGACTACTACCAATACCACCACCACTGCCACTGGCGGTACCGAAGCCCTGAACCCTAATCCCGGCGTGTGGCTCCGCCGCAGTGGTATTCCAACTATGGAAGCAAAGAGCCGTCAAACGAGAAACAACATCACAGTAAGCCCGAAACCCTCAAAATCCCCAAACCCAAAACCCCTAAACCCTAAACCCTAAACCCCTAAACCCAACACCCCAAAACCCTAATCCCAAAACCCCTAAACCCCTAAACCCCTAAACCCCACTCCTTCAAACGCTAGACCAACGAAAGGCCACACCCGCCTGAAGCTCGGCCCGGCTGGGACTCCCGAGGCATCGCCCTGGCTTTTGAGGAATTCTGCTTGTTTTGTTATTTGGGTTTAGGGTTTTCGGTTCATTGTTTGGGTGGTTTTTAGGGTTTAGGGTTTAGGGTTTGTAGGGTTCAGGGTTCAGGGTTTGTAGGGTTCAGGGTTTAGGGTTCAGGGTTTATGGTCTAGGGTTTAGGGTTTAATGTAGGGGCCTTAGTAGTTTTGGGGTTCCTTATTACAAGCATAGTATAATGTACCCAAAACCTTCTTCGAATTATCAAGGCCCCTACATTGGGTTTCGGGTGGGTTTTGGGGTGCAGGTTTTTTTTTCAAGGGTTTAAGGGGCCGGAGGTCTTCCATCGCGTGGCGGCTTAAGGCTTCATTCAGGGGTTTAGGGTTTAGGGTTTGGGTTTAGGGTTTAGGGTTTATGGTTTAGGGCTTCGGTTTTGGAGGGTGGGGGGTTGATTGACGACAGGACGCTGGCAAGCACGGCCGAAAGTTCTGCTTTGCTTTAGGTCTGCAGATCCTAGAAACCATCCAATTACAAGATAATATAGGGGCCTTAATAACTAGAATAGGGTTTTGGGGTATATTATACTATATCTACAATAAGGAATCCCTAATCCCCAAAACCCTATTCTAATTATTAAGGCCCCTATGTTATGCTTGCTTTCCGTTCTTCCAACGCAGGGGTCCGAAGCCTTATCCCCTTTGCATCCGTCTTGGCAACGTTTTAGGAGAGAGCAGAAACTGTGACCGCCCTTGCAGATCAACTCGCGGGCCATTTGGTGTGAATCCATAATATATAGAGGCCGGATTGTTCGTAATAGTAGTCGGTCGTTAGGGTTTCCGTGTATAACTGGGCATCCAAAACTACTGTACTTATCCCGACCCGCACTAACTTAGGGGTACCGTATATGGAGGGCTTATAGTAACGATTTCGGTCGTTTCCTGAACCCCTTATTTTCGGGGAACACTCCTTAGGAGTCTTGCCTGAAATGGAAATTGCCGAAAACTTGGAATCCGTAAAGTCTCTGGATACAGGGCTCTTCGTGGCTCAGTGGGCGGCTGCAGAGCATTCCTGCCACGTCACATGCGAGTCTCAGAACATAAATGACCCCGATATAGACCCTAAATACTCGGACGCTTGTTCTAAGGACCCCGAAATACGGTATTCCCAACTTTAAGAAGCCATCCAAGTGAGCACGGTAGCTTGCTTAGGCTTCATGGCGAGCACAATTATTGCAGCACCACATTCGACTGCTATCCTGCTATCCATCGACAAACCATATCTTTGAAGCTTCCGGATAGGCCGGATGAACAGTTAATGCAGATGTCGCAATCTATCCTGGAGTTTGACTAGGGAACCCTTCATCATACAGGGGTTCCTAATATGGAGATAATTTTGAGCCTTATGGAACCATCCTGCGCTGCATCTTCTTTCCATGCAAGAAGCACTGTTCATCCAGGAGGATTCGCGACGATTTGCTCACACCTTTGCCACGCTCGTCGCCTACATGCAGCCCCTTGTCTAAGTCTGAAACATTGTGTCGGCTGCACGTTAGGTCTTAAATCACAAAGGGCCTTGCCCCATACTCTATTTTCAGGTTATAGGGGTAGAGGGTTTGGAGCCGCATCTCGAAATGTAAGAATCAGATGAGTCAGCTTCTACATGAATTTACGTATGTATGTATATACATATGCATGTAGGTATGTAGGTATGTATGCAGGTAGGTGTGTATGTATGTAGGTAGGTATGTGTGTAGGTAGGTATGTATGTGGGTATGTACGTATGGATGGTAGGTAGGTAGGTAGGTAGGTAGGTAGGTAGGTAGGTAGGTAGGTAGGTAGGTAGGTAGGTTTGTATGTATGTATGTATGTATGTATGTATGTATGTATGTATGTATGTAGTGCGGTAATGAATGTATGCACTCACGTCAGCATTGTTGATATAGTGTTGTATCACGTGATGCACCATGTAATGCAATGT